AAACTATTCTAGGATGAAAAAACTCCCACCCTCTTCCTTGGAGTTACTTCTACTCTTACCTTCTACTCCCCTCCCACCAACTACCTGGGCATAGGATGATGGTCATCATCTGCATTCAGCATTCAGTTGGTTCTCAAATAAATGGCATTTGGATGAGACCCAGCTTCTTAGAGAATTATTTTACAAAGAAAAGGAAATATTAACTGGACAGATGGGAGGAGTGGACACCAGAAGGATATACAGGGTTACCTAGAATGCAGAAATCTAGGTTTCCCAAAGTGGAAGGAGAGAGGAGACATTCAACAAACAAGTATTTATTGAGTACCTACTATGTGCCAGGCACTGTTCTAGACCCCCCCAAAAGAAAAAAAAAAAGGTAAGAGGCAGCAAACATGAATTCTGAGGGAGAGGAAAGGGGTAGTTGAGGAAGAAGGCTAAGGGGACTGAGAAGCTTGAGGTGATGGGGCTGTGCCTTAGGCCTCCTCTTCAGCCTCTTCACCAAAATTCTCCTCCTCTTCCGCAGTGGCATCCTGGTACTGCTGATACTGAGAGACGAGGTCATTCATGTTGCTCTCAGCTTCGGTGAATTCCATCTCATCTATACCCTCACCTGTATACTGGTGGAGGAAGGCCTTCTGGAGGAACATGGCAGTGAACTCCTCTGAGATGCGCTTGAAGGGCTCCTGGATGGCTGTGCTGGTCTGCTGCCAATGAAGGTGACTGCCATCTTGAGGCCACAAGATAGGATGTCACAGACAGCTGTCTTGACATTGTTTGGGCACCATTCAACGAAGTAGCTGCTATTCTTATTCTGCACATTGAGCATCTGGTCATCTACCTCCTTCATGGACATCCATGGGAGACAGCAGCCACGGTTAGGTATCGGCCATGGCAGGGGTCACAGGCAGCCATCGTGTTCTTGGCATCAAAGACCTGCAGATGAGTTCTGGCACAGTGAGAACCCAATTCTGCTGGCTTCCACGGCTGGTGAGAGGGGCAAAGCCAGGCATGAAGAAGTGGAGACATGGGAAGGGCACCATGTTGACTGCCAGCTTGCGGAGGTCAGCATTGAGCTGGCCAGGGAAAGGGGGGCAGATGATGACACAACTCATGGTGGCTGAGACAAGGTGGTTCATGTTCCTGTAAGTTGGCATGGTCAACTTTAGAGTACAGAAGAGATGTGGTAAAGGGCCTCGTTGTCAATTCAGTACGACTCATCAGTGTTCTCTACCAACTGATGGACAGAGAGGGTGGCATTATAGGGCTCAACCACGGTATCAGACACTTTGGGTGAAGGCACCACACTAAAGGTATTCATGATGCGGTCAGGATACTCTTCTCGGATCTTGCTGATAAGGAGTGTGCCCATTCCAGAACCTGTGCCTCCACCCAGAGAGTGGGTCGGCTAGAAGCCCTGCAGGCAGCCACAGCTCTCTGCCTCCTTCCGTACCACATCCAGGACTGAATCAACCAGCTCAGCCCCTTCTGTATAGTGGCCCTTGGCCCAGTTGTTGCCTGCCCCAGACTGACCAAAAACAAAGTTGTCTGATCTGAAGACGTGGCCAAAAGGACCTGAGCGAACAGAGTCCATGGTCCCAGCTTCTAGATCACCAGGATAGCATGAGGAAGGTATTTGCCAACTGTGGCTTCATTGTAGTAGACAGAGATTCCATCCCACTGCAGATCGCTGTTCCCGTGGTAGGTGCCCGTGGGGTCAGTGCCATGTTCATCGCTGATCACCTCCCAGAACTTGGCACCAATTTGGTTGCCACACTGACCGGCCTGAATGTGTACAATTTCCCACATAAAGAAATTTATTTAAATTAAGTAAATTTATTGTTAAAATTTATTGTTTTTGCTCACCTCGAGGTGTTCACAGAGCAGATAAAAAAAAAAAAAAACTTTTATTTTTCTCTCTGCTGGTCGCAGGCTAAAAGAATGGAACGTGCCCCAAAAGCTGGAGCAGCGAGGTCCAAACAGGCTGACAGAGGAGAAAGAAGAGGCAAGGGTATGGGTGGGCCCTTTGAACATTCTTAATTCACATCATACTCTCCTGTTTTTTCTTCCCACCTCTTCTAGACATTCTTTTGTAAAGTGACCAGTCAGGATAGTTTGTCCCAGTTTTAGCACTGGAAGTACCATGTCCCAGGAAACCCCTCACTCCAGAGCAAACCAGGACGGTTGGTCACCCTGGTCTTAAGTGTCTCTTAAACAGTTCATTTCTTTAAATTTCATTAAACATGTCACATCTTCTAGTCATTACTAAAATGTCAGTGTCCCAAGGGCTTCATCCTCCATCCTCTGCTCTTTTCACCCTCTACAGTCTCTTTGATGGCCTCAGCCAGATTAAGACTTCAAAACCTGTGATGCATCTGTCTGGTGGTTATCTATCAAATTCATATCTTCTCCAACCCAAACTGCCAATATAATTTAACATGTCAAAATAGAACACATCTTGCACAAAATATACTTCTTATTATATATCTTAGTAAATGACCAAATATCCATCCACCTGGCCACCCAAACCAAAATGAACCTGGAAGTCATCTTTAATTTCTCCTACTCCCACCACCTCAGTTGATTCTACCTTCTAGATAATCATTCCCCATCTCCATTTCTCATAGAAAGCTTTTGTGCAAGCTTCATCCTTCCTCGCCTAAAATATATTTGACCCTTGAACAACATGGGTTTGAACTGTGCAGGTCCACTTATCGGTGGAGTGAAAGTAACACCAAGTGTGCCTGCCTCTCCCGCCTCCCCTTCCACCTCTGCCACCCATGAGGCAGCAAGACTCTTACTCTTCCTCAGCCTATTCAACACAAAGATGAGGATAAAGACCTTTATGATGATCCACTTCTACTTAATAGTAAATATATTTTCTTTTCCTTATGATTTTCTTAATAACATTTTCTGTTCTCTGGCTTATTATAAGAATATAGGATATAATACATATAACATACAACATATGTATTAATCACCTGTTTATGTGATCAGTAAGGCTTCCAGTCAACAGTGAACTATTAGTAGTTAAGTTTGGGGTAAATCAAAACTTAAATGCAGATTTTTGACTGTGCAGGAGTCAGTGTTCCTAATTCCTACATTGTCCAAAGGTCAAGTGTGATATATTCACCATGACAATCCAGTAGTCTAAAATTCTCACCTAATTAAACTATTTTTGCAATCATTTAGTGATTCCCCCATGGCTTTTTGGAGAAATTCGACCCCTTAGTTTAGAACACTTAGGTCCTCATAATGTGAACCCTGCCAGTCTCAATAGCCTTCTCTTTATTCACTTCTCTATACTCTCTCTTGCCAACCACCCTCATCTCCGGCCCAATCATTCGAAACCCACATGCTATTTCCCATCTGTGAGCCTTCCCACCAGATGTCCCCTCCACTAGCAATGCCCCTCCCAAACCCACCCTTTCTGGACCTTTCCAATTCAAATAAAGGTACCTCCTTTAGACAATCACAGCACCTTCTATGAGTACACTTTATACTTCCTGTTTTAAAATCAACACCTAAAACAAGAATGCTCAATAAAAGTTTATTGAATAAAAGAATGAATAAATAACCCAAATGATTTAATACCTGGAAACCAGATGGCTGTGAATGGTTTCATGAGCTTTACTCTTTAAAATTGATATTTTCACATTTTCTACACATTTTTCAAAGCTACAAAAGTTTCCAGAATAATGAGAATGAAAGCAACGTTCCCATGGATGAGAACAAAAAGTATATGATGAAACTTAGCTAAAATTATCTATAACTTCATAAATGTGTTATCAGAAGGATTTTTTTTTAAGCAACATATTCCAAACCATGTTGGAAAGATTTTTACAAAATACTGTTCAACCATTTGTTGAAAATAAATAAAGTAATCATTGTTTCACTATCTTCAACTCTATGTCAGCCAAGGAAGTAAGAACCCCCCAGGATATGCTCAGGAAATTAAGAAGAAGACAATTATTGCCTTCTGGGAATTCACTATCTGGGTAGGAGACAAGATATGTAGGATAAACAGTGAGAAAGAAGGGATACACACCAAAGTGTGGGAAAAGGCCCTTCTACAAGTAAAAGCTCAAATTTGCCATCATGTTGACCTTGTGGTAAGGCCATCAGCCAGATGAAGCTAAAAATAAGAATTAACAGAACTATAGGGCCAGCCAAAGAGCAATGATGCCTGGCCTCCATGAACTTTTTGAAGACCCCTCATAATTGGCCCCCACACCTACAGAAAAATAAAGGAAACAGAGGGCAACCAAAATATTTGTGTTACCATAGTACTGTAAGAAAGGGGGAAATTAGAAGCTTCATCTTCAAGGAGCCCTCACTGAACAGGAAGTCTCCACAGCTGGTGGAGGAAGTGACTGTGATGTAATCTAGAGAGTGTAAATCTAAGCCTCTGGACCAGAGACCAGCATGGCAGAGTAGGGGGTAGTACAACAAAGGAAATATCCAAGCAGAGAAAATCCTAATTCTCTGTGAGGGAGGTCTACATTCATGGAACACATTTGTACAAGAGATAATGCATCATTAGATAATCAACAAAGTTAAACCAAGTCAGTAATAATGAGATTTTAAACACTATAGAGTTTCTAAGTAATAATAAAGGGGGACTTTGATGCTGAACCAGGACTAGATAGGGCTCAGTAGGGCTGAGGTTTCCTTATAGAACAATGAATGCATCATTGCCACAGCAGGGGAGAGCAGATAGCTAACCACCAGGTAAGGCCAGCTGCCAGGGCATAGGGCAAATAAAAAAGGCCCTAGAGGTGAAAGGTAAATCCACAGAGCAGTGTTTTTCAACCCTTTTTATCTCGTGGCACACTTGAATCTATAGTTTAAACTTTCACTGCACACTTAGATTATGTTGATAAAAAAACACAGCGTAAACAAAAGAATGCACTTACTGTGGTTTGAACTTTTTTCAAAAATAATTTTATTAATGATCTTTAAAAATTTTCACCCTGGGGGGCTGCAACGTCGGACAGAAGGAGGGAACGCAACGGAGGCAGGCGGGAGCCGCTGCCGTCGCCATGACCCGCGGTAACCAGCGTGAGCTCGCCCGCCAGAAGAACATGAAAAAGCAGAGCGACTCGGTTAAGGGAAAGGACGGAGATGACGGGCCTTCTGCTGCCGCCCACAAGCAGAGGGACTCGGAGATCATGCAGCAGAAGCAGAAAAAGGCAAACGAGAAGAAGGAGGAACCCAAGTAGCTTTGTGGCTTCGGGTCCAACCTTCTTGCCCTTCGCCTGTGTGCCCGGAGCCAGTCCCACCAGGCTCGCGTTTCCTCCTGTAGTGCTCACAGGTCCCAGCACCGATGGCTTCCCTTTGCCCTGAGTCTGCAGCCGGTCCCTTTTGTGCTTCCTTTCCCTCACGTAGCCTCTCTCCTCCCCCCCCCCAACACTCCTAGGGATGAGGGGGTTACCCCTTCCCAGTGTTTTTTATTCCTGTGGGGCTCACCCCAAAGTATTAAAAGTAGCTTTGTAAAAAAAAAAAAAATTTTTTTTTGGCTTGGCGCCTATAGCTCAACTGGCTAAGGTGCCAGCCACGTACACCTAAGGTGGCGGGTTCGAATCCCCAGCCCGGGCCCGCCAAAACAACAATGACGGCTGCAACCAAAAAAAAGCCGCGGGCGTTGTGGCAGGCGCCTGTGGTCCCAGCTACTTGGGAGGCGGAGGCAGGAGACTCGCTTGAGCCCAGAAGTTGGAGGTTGCTGTGAGCTGTGATGCCACGGCACTCTACCCAGGGGGACAGCTTGAGGCTCTGTGTCTCAAAAAAAAAAAAATTTTTTTTTCACCCCACACTGGTTGAAAATCACTGCTATAGAGACAGAGACGAGGCAAGAAAGTTTAGACAGGCTTCCTAAATCTAATTATTCAGAAAGTTTATTCTAAAATAATAAATGAGTACATTCATCATTTCTTTATCCTTGTTTAACATTTTTCAGTTTATTTTCACATACGTTGTCTCACGGTATCTCAAAATGGTTCCGTCACATAGATGGGGTAGGAATTATTATCCCTATTTTACAACCAAGAGAACTGAGATTTGACATTAACAAATTTCTTACCCAAGGTCCCACAGTGAGTAAAACATGGAGTCTGGATTTCTGATCTCTAGTCCAGTTTTCTTTCCCTTGTACCAGGAGCTTTCTCTAATTTAAGCCTCACCTATAAAAATATGAATGAAGAGCAGGTGAGGTCTGGGAAGGCAGACCTGCCAAGGCTGGAGCTCGGTGCCCTGTGGTAGAAGACAAGTCACCAAGGGCAGCATGATTAACGGTAAACCCTCGAAGAACACAACAACTTCAGTCACCAGGTGTCACGTGGGTGACAGGGAGTGGGCTGCATGACCTACTCATGCAGTTTGCCCAGGACTGTCCCTGCTTTCGAATGGAAAGCTTCACATGCCCGAACCCTCTCACTCTCAGGAAGAAGCTCAAGCATCAGAAAATAAGCCAGCATTTCACACTCTAGCAAATGACAACGCACATGGCCTTTGAGTACAGCATGTAGATGGAGTAGTCATTAGGACCAGCCTTTTCTGTTTAGTTAAACCTTTGGAAATTACCTTTTTTTTGGTCAAAACCAGTCACATATTATTATGATTTTACCTAATACTTCCTAATCAATTAGAGGACAAATGGGATCGTGTCTATGAGAATACTTACAAACGGTAGAGAGCATATGAAGAGGAGTCATTATCAATACTATTATTATTATTACAAAGAACCCCTTATTGTCGATGGCAAAGTGGACACAGGCTACAGTGACCAAATCCCTCACTCAGTGGGATTCCTTGCTTTGTAGTGCACAAAATCATTATTTGAAAAAATTTTCTCACCTAAAAAATTTTCATGCCCAAGGTTAGTTGTCACTCTGATGTCCACCAGAGAGAGTCAGAGAACAAACCAAGAGGGTTTTCACATATGGTTTGTTCTTAAAACAAGAACACATTTCTAGGGTTGCATTTTTCTGAGTATCACAATGGGAGTAAATGAACACGTTCCTGAAAAGCAGTGAAAGCAGAAGCAAGCCATCGGGCTGGTCTTCCTTAGGACACGGGCAAAAATACTGGGGAAGGCTCTGCGCCTGTGGCTCAAGTGGCTAAGG